GACCTGTTGCTCCAGTTTGCACTCTCAACTACTCCCTTACAAATGTGTGGTCTGATTGAATTGGCAGGGCCAATATTTATCTGGTACATACTGGAATGGCCACACAACTAACTACTGTTGTGAGTGGTCAGTGCTTGTGCTTTATAGTAAGTATTTGGGTGGGTGTAAGCCTGACCACCAGCAAATAAAAAATGTTTAGATTTCCGGGCTGGGAAGGTGGCTCAGTGGTAGAGTACTTGCTTTGCATGCATGAGGCCCTGGGTTCCATTCCTCAGCACCACATAAGCAAAAAGAAAAAAAGCCAGAAGTGGCGATGTGGCTCAAGTGGTAGAGTGCTAGCCTTGAACTGAAGAGCTGAGGCACAGTGCTCAGGCCCAGAGTTCAGGCCCCATGACCAGACCCCCCCCAAAAAAATGTTTAGATTTCCTAGTTATGTATACATTTTCAAAGGCAGATACTATAAAGATTGGGAAAATTTCTCTCTGGAGTTTGGTAGCAAAGCCTTTTCTCCTCTACAAGCCTGTTGTCTAAAATGATCTACTTGGCCCAGGTTTTCTGAGGAAAGTAATGGCCTTGGAACTGGTGGTGTGGCTCAAGTGCTAAGAGTGCCAGCTGTGAGCAGAAAAACTGAACAGGAGCTTGAAGTTCTGAGTTCAAGCCCCTGTACTGGCATAAAACTAAATGCAAAATCAGAAACAAAAGACACCCAGTAGTCTTTGTGAGTGAATGTGTTCTAGAAAATAAACTCAAATAATGAAAGTCATATCTTAACATATATTCAGTTTATCCTTTTGATTGATAATTGGAGCATTGTAGTCAGCAGCTCTTGAACTCGACAATATGTTATTCACATATATTTAGCCCTTGTGATTAAATAGAAATTCCAAAGAGTAGAGTTTATATCATCTCCCAATGGGAATTAAAGAGTAGAACATTTATACGTATGTTTTAGTTTTAGCTTATGGGGTATGTTTTAGTTTTAGCTTATGGGGGGAAAAAGAAACTGACCACACATGTTAGGATATGATACAACTCTACAGTGAAGTAGAGACCCACTTTTCTTCCACCTGGGGCTCTGACTGCTCCCTGTGCCCCTGGGGATCACTGCATCCAGTTGGTGAAGAATGGCGGCAAGCTGAGGGCTTACCCCCTGTGTAGAAGTCTCAGCTTGGAAATAGTACACCACATTTCTCTTTTTTTTTGGGTCCGGTCGTGGGGCCTGAACTCTGGGCCTGGGCGCTGTCCCTCAGCTCTTCAGCTCAAGGCTAGTGCTCTACCACTTGAGCCACAGAACCACTTCCGGCTTTTTTCTTTTTGCTTATGTGGTGCTGAGGAATCAAACCCAGGGCCTCAGGCATGCAAGGCAAGCTCTCTACCACTGAGCCACCTTCCAAGCCCCCACATTTGTCTTTTTAATATATTTTTTTAAAAAATATTTTATTGTAAAGATACTATACAAAAGGGTTACAGTTACATGAGTAAGGTAATGAGTACATTTCTTGTCCAGCATTGCTACCTCCTGCTTTGTTGTAGTGCACTGTGTTTCTGTTCATATTGTATTAACTGAGAAATTCTGTCATATGGCAAAACCTGTAAGGGATGTTGAGAAATATGTGTTAGTTGTGTGCTTAGGAAGAAGAGGAAATAGATGTAAAAATGATGTTCTTTTGCCTTCCCTCCCTCTCTTCATCTCTTTGTTGCCCCCCTTCTTCCTCTTAGAGATGAGAGTGACAATGATACACCCTGAGTTTTTTTCCCAGCTAACATCTACATAATTGTAAGACAATTTTCAACTATTGCGATATAATACTATTAACTATAGGTCTCACTCAGATTTCACTAGATTTTCCTGTACTGTCATTGTAATATTTCAGGATCCAGCCCATATTCTTGTCATTTCCATAGTCACCTCAGTTTTGTAATCCTTCTTGTCTTTTTTTGCCTTTTGTGACCTTGTCACTTTTCTTTAAACATGTATTTTTTATTTTCAATTGACAAATGATAATTGTGCATAATTTGGGGGTATACTGTGATATCTGACTGCATGTATACTATGTGTAATGATCTGATCAAGGTAACTGGCATGTCTGCCACCTCAGGACATTGATCATTTCTTTGTGTTGAAAATAACCAAAAATATTCTGTACTACTTAATACATCCAATTATGAATTACAGCTATCCTATAGTACTCTGGTACTATAGAATGTTAGTTGCTATCCTGTCTATCTCTCAGAACCCCTGTACCTGTGAACTATCTTCCCCATTTCATCTCATCCTTCCCAGGCTTTAGGAACCACTATTTTATTCTCTATATCCATTCTCAACGTTTTAGCTATCACATATAAATGAGAATATCTCATATTTCCTAATTATGTTTAATGGAGCAAATTTTATGTGTGACAGCATAATAAACCATTTGAGAATTTGTGTTTATTGATGGAGGCATGATTTAAACACTAAAGTGAAAATGGACGAATGTGATACATACTCATTTTCCCAAATTTTGGGGTACTAGTTTATATTTGTCTTTGGTTACAGCATGTAGTATGACTCTTAATTGAAAGTGCTTATTAGAGGTGTGATTACTTGTGTCACAAGGAACTCAACAGAGTCACCAATTCTCTACACTTTCTGTATATTGGATACTTGCTCAATTTGATTTGGCTGCTATTTCTAGAATCTGGTTCCATTTACAATTTTTCCTCTTCCCCCATCTTGCTAAGCATTTCTGATCTAACAGAACCAAGTCTATTTCAGAGGATAATGTGAATGACCCACCTACTCACTATTGGTGTGGAGTCACTGTGCAACAGTACAGAATTAAATTCACAGGTCCTAAGTGATGTTTATAATATTCCTGCTATCAGCTGTCCTACTTCAAGTCATCTTGAGTCTTTTACATGCATGTCAAAGGCATGAAGCCTTAACTATATATAGAAGTTGCAGGGAAAGGAAGCTCTGCTGATTGGAGGAGAGCTGGGTCTTGTTTTGGCTTAGTGATGTCTCTGCAGCATGGGAAAGGTACTTTGCCTGTTTGGCTTTAGTTTTCTTCTTTCTGCAAAGATCAAAAGGACCTTATCTAGCAACATAGGTTTTTACTTCAATGTTCAGTGGGTTTTAGTGTAGTTTGGTTGAAGATTTGCTTCTCCTGCCATTCACATCAACACTTAAGTACAGCAGCCAAATGATGCAGGTGCCTGAGGAGGGTGTTTTCACATGAGACATGTCAAATTGTGTAAAACTGGTTTTAAGAGTTTGTAGCGTACTGTTGTTTGATAAAAAGCAGCCATTCTATGTTTCAATGAGAGTCTACTCATTTCAAAAAGTATCTCTTTGGAGGAAAATGTCAAAATATGGAAATTTATACATCTTAGGTTTGATATACCTGTTTAAGTTTAAGACGTAAACGGGTCAGTAAGCAGCCTCCTGGGAGCCTTAATCACTGGCCTCATCCAGCTAGTCTATGTTCTTACCGCAAAGTCTGTTCTAGATCGAGTATAGACATAGGATGTAATTGACTAGGTATTCTTACTCAGCTGTATTCCAACTTGAAGGCTCACGTCAAATTTTCAGTGAAGACTTGCCTTCTTAGCTTTTCTACATCCTCACTGGACCTTATGCATACATCTAACAAACAATAAAATTCAGCAATTTTGTTGTAATTTTTTTTTTACTAGGTTATGAGCTGCTGAAGGCTACTTTTTGTTATTTGTAAGTAGCTGTATGAAGGAGTTTTAATTCAGAATTCCAATTTGTGAGTCCAGTGCATCTTGATCAATGTCACCTTTTTATCATTCTCTCCATCTCTTCCAGTTGTATCCTCTCAAGTTATCTGGTTCCACATTGAACTTCCTGATATTCATTTTGTTAAACTCTTAGGTTGTTCAAAGGTATTACACCATTGGAATCCTTCCTAGCATCTGAGCCTGATTTGCTTAATTTTCCCCCAGGCTTTTCAAGGTCAAGTAGCCTGGAATATAGTCATTCAACAATATTTATAGAAGGAATGAAGGTAGAAAAATTGGTAGGCAATAAGGAAAGATGGGTGTTTTCTGAAGTATAGAATACTAAAGCCATTGCTCATCACCAAGAGAGATAATGTATATACATTTTTATTTTAAGTACATTATATGCATGTATGGGAATATCACAACCAATCTCATCATTTTATAATATGTACTGATAAAAATAACTTTTTCAACTAACAAGATTATTTCTTAAATCACTGGCCATGTTATTTAAAGGCAAAATTAATTTAAGTGAAAGATTTTTCTAGCCTAAGCATCCATCATCACATCTTATAGAAAACTAATGTCATTCTCAGCTACTAGGGAGATAGAGATAGGAGGATCATTTTTTGAGGCCAGCTTAAGCAAAAGTTAGCAGGACTCTATTCAAAACAAAGAATGGGGGCGTTTACCTGAAATCCCAGTTATTCTGGATCCAGAGTTAAGAGTATAATGGATCAAGGCTGGATGGAGGAAAAGCATAAGACCATCTGAAAACAAAGCAAAAGAAGTCAATCTGTGGCTCAAGTGGTAGAGTGAGACTCTGAGTTTAATCCCCAGTATCACCAATGAAACAATAAAAACACCTTATATCCTTTGCTCCAGCAATAAACTGGCACTGTGATTTTGGGCAGGTGCTGTGCCTTCCTTTGGCTGTTTCCTGATTTTAAAAACAGCACAAGATTTCTGTAAGAATGATGTCACATAATGTTGTAAATTACTTAACACACAGTGCCTGACACAATGAAAGGAGGAAGTATGATTGTTATTATCTGTGTATGTGTCATGGGCAAAGAATTGGGGACTAAAACAAGTATTTATTGATCTCTTGTTTTGCAATTCTATCAGGGTTTTTCTCGGGAACCAGGATTATAATAGGTAGCTTCCTTATTTCCCTAGGCTGTCATTTGTATATAAATGTTCCCTTGCTTAAGAATTGTCATTCTTCTCCTCTTAGAGACAACCCCGTACTTTTATCCTTTCTTTTTCAGTAAATTATTTGATCCTTTTTGCCCATGGACAACTCAGCATTTGAAATGCATGAGGATGGATCACAGAAAGCTTTGTCTATTGGGAAGATGAACACCATCTCCAGAATGGTAAGATGGGGATTTGCATCCTAGGGAAGGTGCTCCCCAAATCCTCATGCAGAAATCAGGAAGAATTGCTGTTTAGATAAGCTCTCAGGAGACCCTCATCTCTTGCTTTGAGTATTTCTTGCTCTGTCTTCTCTCATATATCTTTAATTCACATATTCTGTAGTTTTTTAATAGCCTAACTTTCTTTGAATTGTGGCTGAGAGTATTAATGAATGCTTTAGGTTAATGGTTATTATCACCAGCTTAAAAAAATGTACCTCTCAGTTGATGCTTTTTAGAGATAATGTTTTTATCCATACTTATCAGTGAACTTTAGAAAAGTTAAAGGGTGGAGATTATTTCTTGTTTTGTTTCAGCTAACTTTTTTTTCTTTTTCTCTTTCCCTCCTTCCCTCCCTCCCTCCCTCCCTT